CTCTCTCCCTGTACCTTAAAAGGGTTCCAGGGATCAAACTCAGCTCGCCAGGCTCGCTTATCCAACGGCTTTACCAGCTGAACCTTGTCACCACTCCTCAAAAACAATTGGAAATGATCTTGTGGTGGGAAATAAAAAAAGAAAGAATCAAAATAAAATAAAGTCATTTAAATCTTGTCATTTTTTTAAAAATAATTCTCTGGTCACATTTGGCATTGTATACTGAAACTTATTCACATCTCTCTACATAAATATATATGTATAAATAAATGAGGAGTTTGTCATATTATGCATATCTTATTATTGCTGTCAAATAATCTCAAAAAATATATTTCCACTATGTAATATATAAGAACATTTTATATCTTATATATGTATGACCTAAAATACTTAAACGTAGATCAGTGTTTGTATTATGACATATAAGTGTTCAGAAGTGTCCAGAACAGCATAAACCATTTATCTCATTTTGCTAGAAGCCTCTGAAGAAACCGTTACTACATTTTCCTGTTGCACTAAATCACAACTTAGCTCAGCTCCTCAGACAGAGATAGGCTCAGATTCCCATGTGTCCAACAGCGCACACACTAAAAATGTCAGATTTCTGTGACCCTAGCCAGCCTGCCTGGGTAACTTGGCAAGTTTCAGGCCAGCAAAAGACCCAAGACAGAACACACAGAGACACAGACAAACCTGCGTGCATTCCTGCAAACATGCACCACACATCCATAAAAGATATACTATTTTATTCTATTGATACAGTGAGGAACTTCAACAGAGGAACACAAATAGTCTTATTTTCAAATGGGTACAACTACCAAAAACATTAAAAGTTAAAAAGAAAGAAAGAAAGAAAAGAAAAAGTTGCACATAAAATGGAGCATGTGGCCGGCCGCTACTGGGGAGGAAGGGCCTACGTTAAGCCTGAGGCTAGCTCCAGGGTCCAAGCTCACCACGGCCTCCGTGCCAGGTGACTAATCTCAATCCTTCGATGAATAATCAGGCATGTCCAGCTATTCCCGCTCCTCTGTGGTTGAGATAACTTCCTTCAAGAATTGGGGTGAGGATGGGGGGTGAGGACAGCATGAAATGAAACTCGCTAGACTTTCCAGGGATAAAAGTCGACACGTCACCCAAAGCCTGAGAGTACCTAAAGGCTCCATCTGGCTGCTCCTGCCTCCAGGCAAGGTTGCTCTCAGAATTGGGCTCCCCTCAGCCCTAACGAATGGCACAGGCAAGTGCAAACAAGACACCCCACAGGCCAGAGGGAATTCAATCCATCCCAGTAAAGGCAGTCAAGTGTCGGTAAAATGTACAATCAACCCCACCATTTTCTAATTGAATGTAACTCATAACTTCCCTTGTGAGACACCTAACGTCGCCGCCGGTACAGATTTCTGGGTTTTCAATCTGTCCTTCATTCTCTGGACTGTCTTGTTTCTTTTTAGTTTCTCAAAAACAGAAATGAGCAGCTGGGGAGGTAGTTTGGTGGGGCAGTGCCTGCCTAGCACGTCTGAAGCCCTGGATTCAATCCCCAGCACTGCAGATTTACAAAGAGAAAGAGCAATGGCTAAGACTGTGTCTGTGTTTGAGGTGTGCATGCGTGTGTATCAGAAAGATGTGCCGTTTGGGGGGTAAGTGAGATGGTGAGGAGATGGCGCAGCCAAGTCAACTGAGATTTAAATTTTAGCTTCTGCTCAAAGAAGGGGGGCTTCAAATAGAAGGCTGCACTTGCAACCTTCCAGGGACACCCAAAAGCACATTGCTCTAATCAGGGGGACCCCTGAAGAAGCAGCTACCCACCCAGATAAAGCTCCCAGATTCCTTTTCAGTATAGAATCCCTCTATAGCCATGTGGACTCCAGCTGGCACACTCCGGAAGCCGAGAAAGCTCAACAATCAAGATCCTCCCCATCTTAAAAGCCCAGCTGACCTTATCAGAAACAAATCCAGAGGTCCTCCCGAGCCACCTGGCCCCCAGCCCCGTCTCTGCCAGGAAGGGGGCAGGCAGAGAGCTGGAGGGTAGGGCCTTTTACACTTCCTGCTTTTGGGGAGGAGGCAGGACGCTGAGTAGTCAGAATAACACTGGCTGTTCCAAGTTGTGTACACTGTATGTTAGGTATATTCTCCCTTCGAACTCCACCCGCACTTTCCTGTTAGACCCTTTGCCCCCAGACAGTTTCACTTCTGCTTCATGTCATATATATGAGTTCATGTGACTATATAAAATCTAGCAACCACAAATGATAAAAAGAAAACAGCATTTGTCTTTCTGAGATCGGTTCTGTTTACTTAATTATCTCAATTTTTGTCCATTTTCTTCCAAACAATATAACTCTGTTCTGTTGTTGTTTGGGGTTTTTTTGTTTGTTTGTTTGTTTTATTTTTCGAGACAGGGTTTTTCTGGGTAGCCCTGGAACTTGCTTTGTAGACCAGGCTGGCCTCAGACTGAGGGATCCACCTGCCTCTGCCTCCCAAGTGCTGGGATTGGCATGTCCCACCACCTCCCAGCTATCATTGGGTCAGGGTGTCCCCTCACAGCAATAAAACAATAACTAAGACATATGGGGGAAATAATTAAGATCAGGGTAGAAATTAATGAAACAAAACTAAAAAAACAATTCACAAAGAAATAAAGAAACAGAGTGGAAACTAAGAGAGCCATTACAACTGATACCTATGAAATTTACAAAAATCCTATGGATATACTTGAAAACCTTTTACTCTACTTGCTTCTAAAATCTGAAAGGAATGGATTCACTTCTAACATTGTATCAACTGGTAAAATGAGGCCCCTCCGGTGCGAGGCTCTGGCTGTGAGAGGCAAGGGGGTAACTGCTCCCCACTACCCCACATCTCACACAGATAAAGCTCCTAGCTTCCTTTGCAGTATTCAGATCCTGAGTACCTCTATGGGTCACTTTACCAACTAGAGCCTGATTTCTTTAGTCCAAATGAGAAACATGAACTGGATATTAAGAATTCTTTCTGTTCATATTTCAGGATTTTAAAGCTTTTGGGGGAGTTAGCCATCATGACTACAATGTTTTTACTCCCTAACTATTGATAACACCTAGGATGGGCCTGAAGTCCTGGGCTCTGAGGCTCTGCCAGCTTCCACAGCTGACTCTTACTGACACACAGAGATGTTCTCTTCAGTAGTTTCTGCTTACAGCTGCTTAAAGAACTCTAAAATCACCAAAGAGGCAAACCCTGGTTCCTTCACCATGCAGACAAACCAATATACAAACACATTAGCTCCTTGCTGTGAATTAATTCAAATATTTTCTGGTGTTAAGAGAAGAAAAAGAAAAGCACTTTGAAACTGTTTCCTGCTACCTAAAAATAGAATGTAAGTTTTCAGAGTACAGAGCCCCAACTTCGCATCTGAGAGAAGTAAATGAGGTACCTGAAAGCAATCTGTTCTCAGGAGCGCTGGGCAGAGGTGACACCATAGTACCAGTACCTGAAGCTGGCTCTTGATTCTGCCCGAGAACCAGGACAAGACCACAGCAACAGACTTGAATCCTGTTTGTGGCCCAACCTTCCCCAGGAGCTACTATGCTTTCCCCAGCATCCTTCACAACCCCTACCCAAGTCCTGGCCCACTCTGCTCTCCAGGACCCCACACCTCACACTCAGCTGGGAGACTCTGAGCTGTCCAAGACCATGAACTTCCTGAGGGCAGCAACTGCCAGTTTCATGGTAATACCTGAACTATACAACAGCCGGAAAACCATCAATGGAGAGAAACTCTGTCAAAGGGGTGATGGTTCTGAACACGGAGCTCCCTGGTAAGCAGTAAGTCCACCAGAGCACAGGATGGCATAGTAAATGGAACCTGGGAGGGGGCATTAAATGAAGCAAGAAGAGGCCCACTGTCTGATTTAAAAATTTCAAGTTGGAAGCTTCAAAAAACAAAACAAGCATGGCAGGGTGCTATCCAGGCTGCTGGAGAAACCATGTTAGTTCTTGGAGAGGGCTTAACCAAAATGAGGATTGTGGCATACCAGCTGAACGACCTGGGGCTATGGGGTCACCCTCTCCCCGATGGGTGAAGAGACACAGAAGACACACAGATGTGACCAGCAGCTCTTCTGTGTCCACATATGAGTTCTTGTATCTGAAATAGGATTTGTAAGAAACAACAGTGCTGGTCCACCTAACGTAATACTACCATGTTTATTTAAAAAAAAAAAAAAAAAGACTTGTTGGGCTGGAGAGATGGCTCAGCTGTCCAAGAGCACTCACTACTCTCTCGGAGTGCCTGGATTCAGTCTCCAGCACCCACAGAGTGGCTCAAACTGTCTTTATCCCCAGCTGGAGGGATCTGTGACTCCTGAACACCAGGTGCACATACATACACGCGGACAAAACGCTCATAGACGCAAAATTTAAAAAAAATAGAAATAAATCACTCTTTAAAGAAAGAAGCAGACCTAGCCAAGCAGGAGGGATTTAGAGGGTTCCCTTAAAAAATAATAATAATTAAGAAATAGAAATATGACTATGTGATAATTATTTACTGATACTCAACGCTAGTCACTGTTGTAACTGCTTAACACATAGAGAGAAATTCCTGGCCTCAGATCAGAGATGGTGCCCAGCGGCAGCAGGAAAAACCTGAGCTGCGGGAGATCTTGGGGGGAGGGAAGGTAAGAGAAGAGGGGGAGTCGGAGGGAGGAGTGGGGAGGCGGGAGAAGAAGGAGAGGGGGATGGGAGCGAGGTGGGGAGGGGGGGAGCATTGGGATTAGGGTTGGGAGGTGTCGGAGAAGAGTTGGGAGGAGGCGCCGAAGAACCCGGAGGACTTGGCACAGTCGTCAGCGGACGACTCCCTCCGCTCCGGGCGCCGGAGCCGAACAACGAACAAAGTTAAGCCTCGGAAGCTGAATAGAGTTTTCTGGAGAGGCGACGGAGAGGGGGCGCTGCGTTTCGGGGAGCGCCACGCGCGACCAGGACGAGCTGGTGGGAGCGGGGCGAGGCCGCTGTGCAGCACTCACCTGTGAGGCGGGTCCCAGCTCCGCGGGTCCCTGCTCCGCGGTCCCGGCTCGCGGCGGCGGGTGGCGCCCACACTCCCTGCCGCCAGCCTTTGCTTTCAGAGCCTCCACCCCTCGGCCCGCCACTTCCTGTTCCCACGCGGCCGGGCCTAGGTTTACCAGCGCCTCCAAAAAGCGGGACTTCAGAACTTGATCGCCCAAAGCCAGGGAAGGAGAGCCTGTGAGGTGCCCTCCGCAGAAGGATGGCCTCCTTCCTGCAGCGAGGGAACCTCAATGGAAAGGACTAGGCGAAAACTTTAATCGGGGGACAGAAATGACTCATGCAGAGGCGATGAGTTAATCATTAGGTGGTACCCTGGTGCCAGCAGCCCTGGAGGCCATAGGCTGCCTTAGGAGCTCCCACCAATTCTTGAAGACACTTCCTCATTCCTCTGCCCCTTGAAGAACCCCCTACACCGTGTAAACCTGCTTTCAATCTCAGCACTCAGGGAGGCCAGGCAGGAAGGTTAGAAATGACAAGTTCCAGGCCAGCCAGGGCTACAGGAGACAATGAAAGAAAATGCACACACAGAGAGAGAAGAGGCAGAGATAGAGAGAGGAGAGAGGTGATTCCACACTGGAAACCAAACTACCGGCAAGAGAGCCTTCACTGCCTATGGAAACGATTCTCGCTGTAGATGTTCGAGTTAGATGCTGAAAGAGAAATTTGTGTGTCATGGCCTAAACTCAGTACTGAGTCCCTTCCCGAAGATCCTATTTTATAGCGCTGGTTTTTTTGTTTGTTGGCTGGGTTTCTCTGTGTAGACCAGGCTGGCCTCGAACTCACAGAGAGCCACCTGTCTCTGCCTCTGCTGGGGTTGCAGGTGTGTGCCGAATTCTAGCGCTGTTCTGGTAGGGCCACACTGGCCTGCCGTTAGGAAGTGCGCTCCTGACCGCCCGCGTGCTGGGAAGTCAAAGCAACCGGTGCTTCTGCAGCAGTGAGCCAGGATTACGGAGCCCAGAGCACCAAACAGACACAGGGACTAAAACCCCACTGCTACCACATCCTAGCTCCCTTTCCCAGCACTTAGGGGTTGGGGTGATATGATGCCTCAGCGTAAACAGGGCTACAGAATAAGAACTTGTCTGGAAGGAAGTGGAGGGGATGGAAAAGACAAAGAGTAGACCAGATGGTTAGACTATAGGAACTCAAGGCTGCTCCCAGGACCTCACTTACACAACCTTCCCCGCTGGGACCAAGTGCTCAAATGTGTGAGCCGTGAAACATTTCATCAAACCACAACACCAAAGCCAAGGAAATCTCCTGGCCAGGCCAGGCCAGGCCAGGCCAGGCCAGGCGTCAGCAGCGCAATCCGGATCACAATCTGGGGGCTTCCTCAGGTGTGAAAAGCTGGGCCAGTCATAACGCGTGTGACAGGCACGTCACAGCGAGTCTACCCCACCCCGAAACAGCGGGTGTGGTTATTTGCCACTAGTGAGCAATTAAAGAATAAGGACAAATGACTGGTGAGAGGCGAACAAAATACCACCATGGACAGCACAAATGGCCTGGGTCTCAGTGTCCATAAATCATCTGTACTGTGTGCCTGATCGTGTTGTCTGAGTGTCCTAGCTAGGGTTGCAATTGCTGTGAAGAGATGCCGTGAGCGCCAGAACTCTTACAAAGACATTTAGTTGGTTCCGTCTCACAGTTTCAGAGGTTTGGTCCATTATTGTCACGGTGGGAAGCAAGACGGCGCAGACAGGCATGGTGCTGATGTTCTGCAGACATGATGCTCAGGGTTCTACTCCTTGATCTGAAAGCAGCAGAGGGATACTGTGTCACCGGGCATTGCTTGAGCGCATATGAGACCTCAAAGCCCGCCTCCACAGTGGCATGATATCTCCAGCAAAGCCACAGCTCCTAATGGTGCCACTCCCTATCGGCCAAGCATTCACACACGAGAGTCTCTGGGGGCCGTTCCTACTCAACCCAGCACACTGACCCTTCCTCTAACACACAGCCTCATTCTACAGGGAAGCTATCAAAACCCCTCCATCCCTTTCGGTCCCATTCTGGAGACTCTCACAGATGGGAGAGCTATTAAACATCATTCCTGGGGGACAGTGAGCCCCTCCTTCACCTACCCCTCAGGTGCAGAGCATCGGTGCTTTTGCCAGGAGAACTTCAAAGATCACCACCAACTTGAGGTTTCTAATCCAACATTGTCCTTAAGGTGGCCACGCTGCTCGGCCTCCGTTATCCCCATGGAATAGAATCCAACATGCTGAAGAGAAACTTGGGCCACAAGACGGACTGAGCCAGAATTAGAGTTCATCTTTGTGGCAAACGGATAAAAGAAGCCATCCTTGCCAACGCCACAGTCAAGAGGGGAATTTGCCCCCAGTTAATGGGGCTTGAGAATCTTGGAACCCAAGAGCCATGCCTGGGGGGACGGAGCGTCAGATCATCCGCTCTCGCCCTGGTCTCACCTACAGACTTCTGAGGCGCCAAGCTCACTAAACACCTTCCGAGATGTCACCTTGCTCCTATGCAAGTTCAGGGCATATAGGGGGACAGGGGGTGGGATATGAACTGGGAGGGGCAACAGGCACTGTACCCCACCCTACAAGAACTTTTCCATTCCATTCAGACTGTGCGCACCGGGGCTGCTTAACCCCTGCATAATTGATGAGGCCACACCCTCGGCACTAAGGACGTTGTCTCGGTTATGGTTTCTCTTATTAAAGGCTTGCCTTGTTCACTTCCACCTGTCATTGTGATCTGCATATTCTTCTGTTAGTAAGAGATCTCCAAACACCCTGACATCCTCTCGCTTCTTCGCAAGTGGTTATTTGCACTGTTAGGGATGATGATGATGATGATGATGATGATGATGATGATGATGATGAAGATGATGATTCTCTCGTATATTACATCCTGACTGCACTTTCTCCTCTCTCCTCCCCGTCCACTCTTTCTCCCTTCCTCTTCAGAAAAGAGCAGGCCTCCCTGCTCTTTTTGGTTTGGATATCAACCAAACATGGCCTATCAAGTAACAGTAGGACTAGGCACCGCCCTTCATATTAACGCTGGACCTGCTAGGAGGAAAGAGGGTCCCAAAAGCAGGCAAAAGAATCAGAGACAGCCCCAGCTCCCTCTGTTAGGAGTACCAAGCTACTCAACCACGACATATACAGAGAGGGCCTAGGTCAGACCCATGCTCCCTGATTGTCGGTTCCGTTACTGGGATCCCTTAGAAGCCAAGGTTGGTTGAGTCTGTGGGTTTTCTTGTGGTGTCCTTGACCCTTCTGACTCCTACAAGCCCTTCCTCCCCTTCTTCCTACTGTTTGGCTGTGGGTCTCTGCATCTTTTTCCATCAGCTGCTGGATGAGGCCTCTCAGATGATGAGTACACTAGGCTCCTGTCTACGAGTCCAGCAGAATATAGTTAGGAATCATTTCGTTGACCTTTTTTCCTCTGGTTATGTTTGGTTCTATCCTAGGTCTCTGGCTATCCGGCCTCCGGTTCCTGGCTATCCAAGCAGTGTCAGGCATGGGTAGGGATGGGAACAGGAGGGATCAGGTTGGGGAAGGATGGAGGGAGAGACAACTGGAATTGGAGGGGGGGTGCATCTCAAGGATGAACTAGGAACCTAGGTCAGTGGAAACTTCCAGGAATCTAGAGGGTGACCACAGCTAAGACTCCTAGCAATGGGATATGGAGCTAAACCGGGCATCTCCTGTAACAAGGCAAGACTTCCAGGGGAAGGACTGGGACACCAACCCAGCCACAAAACCTTTGACCTACAATTTGTTCTGCCTACAAGATGTGCTGCGGTATAAAGGTGACCCAGAACCTGTGGGAATGGTCAGCCAATGACCAGTCCAGGTTGAGACCCGTGTCACTAATCTCTCCCTTTATTCTTCCCCAACCTGATTCCTCTTGTTCCCATCCCCACCCATCCCCAGTCCCCCCACTATAGCTATTCAATATCCCCTTCCCAGGGAGATTCATATATCCTTGCTACTTATGGGTCTGTGGATTGTAGCATGATCTTTTACTTTACAGCTAATGTCTACTGATAGGTGAGTACATACCATATTTGCCTTTCTGGGTCTGGGTTACCTCATTCAGTGATTTTTTTTTCTAGTTCCATCCACTAGCCTGCAAAGTTTTTTCATGTTGCTTGTTTTAACAGTTGAGTAAATCTACGTTGTATAAGTATACCACATTCTCTTTATCCATTCTTCCATTAAAGGACATTGAGGTTGTTTCCTGTTTCGGCTATTATGAATAAAGCTGCTACTAACATAGTTGAGCAAGCGTCCTTGTGAAGGACTGTGCGTCTTTTGGGTATATGCCCAGGAGTGGTATAGCTGGGTCTTGAGGTAGATTGATTCCCAGTTTTCTGAAAAACTGCCATATTGATTTCAACCAAAGTGGTTGTACAAGTTTACACTTCCACCAGCAATGGAGGAGGCTTCCCCCTGCTCCACATCATTGCCAGCGTGTGTTGTCAGGTGTGTGTGTGTGTGTGTGTGTGTGTGTGTGTGTTATGTGTTATCTTAGCCATTCTGACAGGTGTAAGATGGAATCTCAGAGTCATTTTGACTTTCATTTCTCTGATGGCTAAGAATGTTGAACATGTATTGGGCTTCTTGGCTATTTGAGATTCTTCCAACGAGAATTCTCTGTTTAGATTTGCACCTCATTTTTAATTGGATTATTTGGTTTGTGGATGTTTAGTTTCTCAAGTTATTTATCTATTTTGGGAATTAGCCCTCTGTCAGATGTAAAGTTGGGGGAACTCTTTGGCCGTTCTGTAGGTTGCAGTTTTGTCCTATTGATAGTGTCTTTTGCATTAGAGAATAGTTTCAGTTTCATGAGGTGCCATTTGTTAATTGTCAGTCTTAGAGCCTGAGCTGTTGGTGTGATATTCAGGAAGTTGTCTTCTGTGCCAATACATTCAGGTATTCCTACTTTCCTCTTCTGTCAGGTTCAGTGTGTCTGGTTTTATGTTGAGGTCTTTGATCCACTTGAACTTGAGTTTCGTGCAGGGTGATAGATACACATCTATTTGCATTCTTCTACATGCAGACATCCAGATAGACTAGCACCATTTTTTGAAGATGCTTTTTAAAATTTTTCTATTTATTACAATTTCTTCACTTTGTATCCCAGCTGTAACCCCTCCCTCATTCCCTTCCAATCCCGCTCTCTCTCCCTCTTCTCCTCCCATGCCCCTTCCCCAGTCCACTGATAGGGGAGGTCCTTCACCCCTTCC